GTGGCCACCAGCTCGGGGTCACAGATCCTCGTCCTGTCTCCAAGCTGCAGCTGGGGGAGCACTTTAGCAACAGGCTGCAGGTGCACTTGCGGAGGAAGGGCAGGCAGATCCAGCTGGGGATGTTCTCCTTCTTGGTGCGGCAGTCGTACAAGTCATCAGCCCACGAGGTGGTGCCCCTCGTGCCACGGCAGCCCGTCACCACCTACTTCTGGGCACCTGAGGCCTCGTTTCTGTCAGAGGAGACCCGGGAAGCCCTTGAGCTCCATCGGGAGAAGCAGCTGAACCATGACTGGGGCTTGCTCAGGGAGTCATCAGGCTCCATTTGCTTTTAAATTCAAATAATAATAAAAACCATTTAAAGAATTCCCAATAAAGAGTGTGACGAAGTTTCAGGGTCATCTGCAACGTATAATGTAAAGGTTCAAGAATCCAACATGCAGCTCGTGGCAGGGCTATATGCTCCGTGCAGCAGGTACAGTGAGGATAATCTTAATCTTGATGTTGAGATATCAGTTGGTTTCTTCCAAATAGTGTAGAATACCCAGTCAGTGGGCTCGGGGAGGACAGGGCAGAGGCGGACGGTCACCTCAACTGTGCTCCCTGGCCAAGCTCTGGGGAAGCTGAGGTAGGGGAGGACCCTTGTCTCTCCTTGTGCCAAACTGCTTCTGCCTTCGGCGTCTCCCAGCTCCAGGCTGGGACAGCTCCTGGACACAGAGAGACTTCCAGGAGGAAGGCCCTGGCTCAAGGAGCCTTCACCAATGTGTTCAGAAACAAACAAGCCAGAAGATGGCACTCGAGATAAAGACTCTTATCATGAGGAAGGAGACCAAGCAAAGGCTTGATACTTCTTGCAGCATACTAGGAGACTTCAGAAATCCAAATTACACTATTTTACACCATTTATGAGCATCACTTCCCACTGATGAACTATTTCAGTTATGAGCTTAAATAAATAAATTTCAGCTTGACAGCAAAGTAGGTAGACAACCTCAGATCACTAGATTAGAACATCTGTCAGCTGTGAACCAAGATACCTCTAACACAAAAGTGTTCGTGTTTGCGTGCTGTGCTCATCACCTCATTCTCATCTCCTACACCTGCATTGGCTTCACCAGCCACAAGATCAAGCCCACCAGAGGCAGTCAAAAAGCCTTTTCCACCTCTGCTTCCCACCTGATTCCTGCCACCGTGTTCTACTGGACAGGCTCCTGCATGTACTTACCACCCAGTTCAAAATTCTCTGTGGAGCACAAGGGCATCGCTGGGGTTTAGGCTCTGGTGAATCCCATGCTCACTCTGTCCCCTCGTCCATCCAGGCATGGGCCACGTCAGCCCTCAGACTGGTCCTCACAGCTGGCTGCTACTCCTGTCCAACAGACAGGATATCTAACATTATGGTAGAGTGGTGAGGCACTGGCACAGGTTGCCCAGAGAGGTGGTAGAAGCCTCATCCTTAGAAACATTCAAGGTCCTGTTAGACGGAGCTTGGAACCACCTGGTGTAGTTGAAGGTGTCGTAGCTCATGGCAGGAAGGTTGGACTAGATGACCTTTAAAGATCCCTTCCATCCCCAACGCTTCAGTGACTCAAAAAGCTGGTGAGGTGTAAAAAGGAAAATGCTTCCCAAGCAAGTCGTATCTCTTAGTTTCACGTTCGACAACAAGAATCTTTGGATTTGCAAAGAAACTGAGCTTGGCTGCTCCTTCCCCATCCCCCCATAACGTCTGCAGGAATTTCTGGGACCCTGCAGGGCAGTTAACTGACATCTCTAGTTCACAGGAGTCGATTCCCACCCTGGCAGGCTGATTTTGAGATACGTTGTGCAAACTAGGGCCAGTTCGTGCCTGGTGGCGCTGCAGCTGGATTCTTGGCTGGTTGAAGACAAACCCGGACTGATGACCTTAGATGATGACAGGGGAACCTTCCCTCCAGACAATGACCCACGAAGGGTACGCTTACATTTTGTGCAGGAGCAATGTGGTCAACAAGAGGCACCAGCGCTATAAGCTGCTTTAGTACAGAAAAAGGTGTATCTAAGTGTGCCTAAGGAACCGATTCCCAGCCTTCACGCTTTAAGATGCGCATCCAACATCTGTGGCTGAGGCTCTCATCTACGCTTCCTCTGTCCTCACTTCCAGCAGAAGTCATCTCCTCCTGCCCTAAAGCTGTGCCATCCACTTGGCCTTCTGGTGCACAACTCCCCATTTTACCCATAAAGGGAGCCCAGAGATTCCACCCCCCAACTGGCTGAAGTTAAAGATCAGTCACAAACCACAGGGCCTATCCAGAGGGATGCTTTTGTCTTCTTAAAGCGGCTCTTACCTGGCTGGTCGCTTTTCTTAGGGCACATTTAACTTCTTTGTTCCTCAAACTGTAGATGATGGGGTTTAGCAAGGGGGTGAGGATTCCGTAGAGCATGGAAACTATCCTGTCCTGGTTAGGCGAGTAGGTGGAGGAAGGCCGTACGTACGTGCAAATCGTGGTGCCGTAGAAAAGGCAGACGACCATCAAGTGAGACCCACAGGTGGAGAAAGCTTTGTGCCTGCTCTCCGAAGAGTTCATGCACAGGACAGCCGAGAGGATGTAGATGTAGGAGACCAGAGTCACCACAAAGGCGCTGCTGCCAAGGACCCCAGCGACTGCGAGAATGACCAGTTCCCTGCTGTAAGTAGGCGAGCAGGAAAGGGCCAGCATGGGGGGAATGTCGCAGTAATACTGGTCAACCTCGTTAGAATCGCAAAAACAGAGCGTAAAAACCAAAGAGGTGTGCAGCAGGGAGTTACCAAACCCTAGTGCCCAGGTGCCAAGGGCCAGGTGAGCACACAGTTTCATGCTTACGACATTCACGTACTGCAGCGGGTGACATATCGCGACGTAACGGTCGTAGGCCATCACAGCCAAGAGAAAAATCTCTGTCCCTACAACGTTGATGAGGAAGAAGAGCTGGAGCATGCAGCCAGTGAACGAAATCATCTTATTCTCAAGCAACAAGGCCTCCAGCATCTTCAGCACAGTGATGGTGGGACACAGGATATCCAGAAAGGACAAATTGCCGAGGAAGAAGTACATGGGCTTGTGCAGACGAGGGTCTGTGCTAATGGCGATGAGGATTGCGATGTTGCCTGCCACGGTGGCCAAATAAATGATCAGAAACAGCCCAAAGAGAAGAAAACGGACTTCTGGAGCATCAGAAAGGCCTACGAGGACAAATTCAGATACTGTTGATAGGTTGACCCTCTGCATCTTGTCTTTCGTTGTGGAGACAATTGCAGAAGTTTACCTGGAAGTAGTTGTAGCTCAGTCAAAATTGCACCTCCCTTCTAAAGGGGGTGATTTTTTTCAGGGCAGTGCGTGTTTGTTTTTGAGTTCAAAACCATTTGCCAGTCTGCATTGCCACACACAAAATCTAAATTTGACTTCCAAATACCTAGTGTAAAAGGCAAAATATAAGTATTAAGCTTAACAGGGATTAATTTATTTTTTTAAAAAAAAAGTTTAATTCTTGCAAACCGTCTTCTCAGACTGAAGTGCTGGAAGTTGAAGACAAAGGTCCCTCCTCTGTGGTGGCTAGTTTGGCTTGGGCACAGCCCTGGCATCATGACTGGACTTTCAAGGGAGCTGTATTCTCAGCAGGGAGGCAGAGGATGGATCTCAGCATAAATTATTTAATGGTAATAATATTGCCAAAGGGGTGCTAGATTTCTAGCTGGAGCTAAAGACCTAATTTTTTTTAAGTGAGTAACGCTGTCACAGAAGAATTCAATCCCTGGCAATCATCAGACAGATAGTATAGCCCAGGTACATTTTAGGTTTTTCAGCTTTATCCAGTGGATATAAAAAGAGATATATTATCCAAGTAAAGAGCTCCCTCCTTTCTGTAAATTTACTCTATAGACTTCCTTAACGGTACCAGTACTTTTAGAATCTGGCAGGACTTTCCCCACCACCACCTTTTCCCAGTTCAGAGAAGTCTACGAAGATTTGGCATCGGAGGATCTTCCCGTCTACCCTACGCTGTGACATTGACGGTAACTCAGTACTTGGGGTAATAGATAATGCAAAGTTCAGCACAAGCACCCCCACGTTTGCAGATCAGAGCACAAATCCGCGGTGGTGCGAGTATCATAACACATCCTCATCTGCCAGAGATGCGGAGGACAAGTTAAAAGGGTGACTGTGAGCAATATCCCATCGGAGACGGGCTCATCTGGTGTCTCCTGTTCTCGGAGAAGCTTGCTTCCAGCTTGAAAGGGACTGAAGTCAGAGCTTACACTACCTGGGGAAGTATTTCGGTGGGCAGGAATAAAAGGCACGTGGTGCTTTAAAACCTCAGCATCGCTTGTTCTTAAATGGGGAACTGTGGGTGAAGCGCAACAAAACCTTAATGCAGAAATACGGCCTGCTACAAAGACTTAATTACGGGCACAGTAATTAGTGTCTCCAGGAAACGTGGCTATCCTTTTTCTTCTTTCAACATCTGATTAGAATATCTACAGGTGACAGTAAAATTTCACTGCAGAGTTAGGGACATCAGCCTGCCAAGGAAGTGATGGATCCAGATTTAGCAGCAGAGGAACATTCACACAGACATCTGGAAACACCAGCAGAAATGCTGGCCTGACCACAAGGGTAAGCGCCTCGTTCCTCTAACGAGATTTTATAAACCTGTGGGGATGTACCTGGGGACGAGTTATCTCTCAAGCTTTTTTGGATGCTGCCTTCATTGCATATACAAAGCTTTTTCTTTTTTTTTCCACACTGTTGTCAAAGGAGGCTAGAAATATAATAAAATTACTTCTTGACCCTGATACCTTTGATTCCTATGACTTTCACACTGTAGGATCTTTTTTAATGTGGGGTCCAACATTCCCACTTCTTTAATGTCAACTACAGCCTTAAAATCACATAATCACAATTTTTTTTCAAACCAATTTATCTTGCTCTGGATCCTAAAGTCTATCGTGCATAATTAACCAAAAGAAACCAAAATAAAATAAGCAGCTGCTCTGCAGAAGAGCATACCTTAGACGAGAGGAGAGCATCGTGTGGATTTTATGAGCAATCTCTAATTCTTGCATGGGAGCAACTTTGGAATTTTGGATAGCCCCTCCATCAACGACAGAAGATAAACTGGAGTTCTCCGAGAGTTACAAAGCACAGATCTGTCCCGCCATGGTTACATAGACCTGTGGCTGGAATAAATCACAGAATTATTTGGGCTGAAAGGGACCTCAAAGATCATCTCGTTCCAAATCCCCCGGCCATTGGAGGGACCATCCCCCACCAGATCAGGCTGCTCAGTGCCCCCTCCAGCCTGGTTTGAACCCCTCTGGGGATGGAGCAGCCTCAGTCCACGTGGCCCAGATCTCCACGTACCACGGTCAGCCACAGGACCATCGGACATCACAGTTACCATGAAGTTTCGCCGCAAAGAACGGAGCCGATCATGTTGCAATAAACCCAGACACCACCAAGGGATACGCTAAAGAAGTCGATCTCATCCGTAGCGGCGAGAAGAATTGGGACCGTGCCCTCCCGTCTTCCTCATCTGGCTCCATGCCGCTGCCACCCACAGTTGTCCATCTTGCTGTGGAACAGCCACGAGAGGGCAACACCTCCTGGGTGCAGCAGGGTAGCTCGGGCCAGGACTGGGGCCGGGACGGAGCTTAGACACGGCTGTGGAGCTCAGGGGCAAGGAGGCAGCAGCCCCGGTGAGGCTGGGCCTGGCTGGGCCAGTGAGGCCCGTGGGGGCCCGGCCGAGCTGGTGGGGCCTGTGGGGTCCCAGGTGGGGTCAGTGGGGCCTGCGGGACCCAAGAGTCATCAGCTTAACAAGCCCTTCTGGGCACTGCAGAGAAGTCTCTAAGGGTCTGGAAATCTTCTGAGAAAGTTCATGGTAAACCTCCCTTATCCTTGCTAACAAGCCTATGGGGACAACTTGAGAGGAGAAGGAAACTTTACTCTTTGTGAAAGGCACTGAGCACTTCTAAAGAAGTTCAGTTTGTCACAACTACTCCACACTCTGGTGGCTGGAGTGCTTTACCTTGCCAGTCCTGTGCTTGGTGCAGAAGTAACCACCGGAGTTTGAAGGAGAACGGGTCTGTGCATGTCACCAGCAGCAGCTGAGAGAGCAGCGGCCCCTGGCCACCAACTTCTCGTTGGCACAATTCGCTCAGTGCCTTGTGACAAGTGCTGGGGACACCAGAAGGGGATCTAGCAACGGCCACAGCCGTGACAGATGATGGACCAGATTCAGGGTTCATCCAGGTGGTCCAGAGAGAAGCAAAAGGAGACGTGGCTGTGGGTGGTACCCGCAGCAGAGAGGGGTGAACGCTGGTGTGATGCAGGGCTGTGACATCACAGTGGCAGTGGCAGAAGACACATGCTGCCGAA